GGTGATTGTCTTTTAGGGTCTATCCATCCTGGGGTTCGTTGAGCTTCTTGAATGCTTATCTTTTCACTTTTCATGATGTTAGGAAAATTTTCTTAGCAGCCTAATTTTTAAGTCGATCATTTTGTATGGCCCATGAATTATGTTATAAATTTTGGCAGAAAAGTTCCTCCGCCCCTGAAATAAAGGAAGAGCATTATCCTGTCCCATTAGTGAAAGGGGAATTTCCTTTTGGCAAGTTAGTGTTTGTTGTTGTTGTTATTAAGTGCTATCAAGTCAGTAATATCTCATAATGACCTTATGAACAACAGAACAAAACAGTGTCCGGTCCTGCACCAACCTCACAATCATTGCTACACTTGAGCCCACTGCTGCTGCCACTGTGCCAGTCCATCCCGTTGGGAGTCTTCCTCTTTTTCATTGACCCTCCACTTTATAAGCATGATGTCCTTCTCTAGGGACTGGCCCCTCCAGATAATATGTTTGAAGTATGAGAGACGAAGTCCCGTTTAAAAGCCTATTTATGGCCTATTCGGTGTATGGTTCATCCATATGCCTTTTTGATGATTTTTCAGTTCTACTGTAAACCTCTGGACTGGTTTACCATTTCTCAGGAAACATATCACAGAGAGGACAGCGAACAGGAAAAGATAAAACTCAACACAGACAATGTGGATAACTTATGAAATCATTTATTGTGTAAGTCACTTGTTTGGAGTCTGTAGGTGATACTTCATAACAACAACATAACTTCCTGAAACTAAGAGTTTTCTTTAAAAAAAAAAAAAAAAAAATTGGTCAATATTTGTTATTGTATACTGTACTATTAGGAAGGTTTTGTATGTGTATGTGTGTTTCAATTTTATAATGTGTTGCAATTTTCTGAAAATCACAAGTATACATATTGCTGCTTTGGAAAAGGAACTAAAGGCTGGCACTATGCACAGACAAGCTGCGTAGATGTCCTGAGAACAGAGCAGAGGGATCCAGAAGGTCATAGCCGGAAGAGACCATACAGACCATCTAATGCTGCCTCTTTCTCTTCAATCCAGGAAGGCTGAGGCTGAGACATTACGTGAATTTGCTGAAGGCATTATACGCAATGATATAAGAGTGTGGTAATAAGAGAAATCTGTTTTCTTACTCCCAAGTAAAACAACAAACATCACATTTAAACAAGGTCTTTCCCTATGACATTGTTCATGCAGTAATTGCTGCAAGGTGAACACATGTACTTGAACATTGTTTTTAAGTGCAGTTGAGTCAGTTCTGACTCATAGTGACCTTGTATAGGATTTCTATGGAGGGCCTGGTGGGTTTAAACTGCCAGCCTCGTGGTTAGCATTAATGTGTATGGTGTTGTTGTTAGGTGTCATCCAGTCGGTTCCTACTCATAGCAACTCTGTACAGGTTTCTGAGGAGCAGTTGTTGTTGTTGTTGTTGTCAGGTGCCATTGAGTCAGAACCGAGTCATAGCGACCCCATGCACAGCAGAACGAAACAATGTCCGATCCTGGGCCAACCTCACTACCGCTGCCACACTTGAG